CAAGATTTTACTTTACACTTGCAACCGTGAGACATCTTTCTCCTCTTTTAACAAATAGTTTTCCAGTGTCAAGCGGTACCGTGATTTCTCTTCCGTTCGAAGGAAGATTTTAATGCTTTCTTTTCTTTACGATTCGTTTTGAAGATGAGATGCTCAGTAACTACACTTTATGCGGATACACGCATCCGTGGAACCCATCCTATCGCGAAGTAGCAGATGAACTGTAAATCTGAATCTTTCCTAGTACAAGTTCATTTATTTCATTGGAATTTCAGTGGATCATTGTTATTTTCATTTCGGTGAAAATCATGATGATAATTTGTCAGTTTCATTTGATTTTCTATGGAGAACGGAATTCGTTGGATGTTCAGCGTCGATATAAATAAACCTTCCAGTTAAATATTTCTACTTGTTTTGAACCTGCGGCGAACGAGCCGAGTCCGCCCGTTGAACTGATCCGGAAATCGTAGTGCTCCCTTAGTTAGCCTCTGAATGCATTTTCTCACAGTTGTTCTTGACGTCGGCCGAGGGTGACTCGGATCATTGGAATTCGTTTCCTGCTGACAACGTAGTGCGGCGATTTTTCGAGGCGCGTTCAGAGAGATCCCTTTTCGTCAGTAGTTTCCCCACTTGCTCAGCACACCGGTATGTTTACAGTCATCCGGACCTGTCCCCTTGTAGATCCAGATCGAGTTTGGAAAATGGAAGTTCGTGTGACAGAATCACAAAACGCCGAGGCCGAGAAAAAAAGCTTCGTTTTCGTTTCTATGCAACAAGTGGTTCCCGCGAGAACGTCTCGAGTGTCGTTAGAATTGAAACCAAAGTCGAAATAACTTTCGAAATTGTAAACAGAAATCTTTTGTCCTCTAAATGCGACGCAGAGTATTGTTACCCTTACGCGTTTAGAGAAACGAAAAGGTTCTCATTCAGCAATTCGACACAACTGGAAGTACATTTGAAAATATTCGTTGAAACACTTGAAATACTTGAAATAAAATCTAATGAAACAAATGAATTTGTCCCGTTGTCACGCGAACCCGTCTAAATATTTAATAAACAAATCTGTTCTTGGAATACGAGCACCCTTGACGCATAATTTTATGGATTTACAGTCCCGCGTGCTAGAAGAATATAATGGAGACTGGCGAATGACGGTGCAGTCGACAAACACGCGAGAATGTTAAACAAACAAAAAAATCCCATTTCAAGAGTTGCTGGGATCTAACGAGACGCGTCCTGAACGGAATTCGACGAGTTTTTCACTCCCCGTTAAGATCGCACGGACTTCGATACATTGGGAATCGTTATCGAGAGAAATAATAGAAACAATAGCGTATTAATATCGCAAATGGAATTCGGGGCGAACAGGTAGGAGGGAGCGTGCACGCGAGCCCAAGATAATTTCCAAGGGAAATAGGAGGAATTTGAAACGCGTGAAAGGAAAAGGTGGAAAAAAAGAGGAAGAGGCGGTCGACAGTTGGGATAATCGGACAAAAATATTCAAGATCAGCATAGTGAAAAACGGCGAGCGTAAAACATGGAATTAGAACGAGGAGGAAAGTGAAGGTCTGACCACTCGAGAGGAAAATGGAATTCCATAACTGTTGGTCGCTTTAAATTCTCCTGCGCGTGGTGTGCGTACGGCTCATCGTGGAAAACGCGATTAGGAAAACTCTCTCGCCGGGGAATGAGGTCGAGCGATTCGATGGATCAGCACGCGATAGATGTGTAGTAGGATAGAAACGGCGGAAAGGAAAAAGAGCGTCGCCCGGGAATCTGGGATGCACGTGGGATTGGTTGCTCCTACGCCACTGCCAGCGACGCCTATGCGCCGGAAAACTCTGCCTAGGGAACGCTCAACGGCTTTTTTCTGTCCAGAAGCCATAGAATTGTGATAAATATTTCGTGTCGTACGAATATTTCCGTGGAAGTCGATTTTACATTGAGAAAATACTAAAGAGGAAAAAAAAGGAAATACGTTATTTAATATTGAAATAAAAATATACAAAATAAGAATTGAATTTGTTACAGCGAGAAATGTCGAACGAAAATGAGAATTTCTGTTGAGATGGAAATTTTGCAGGAAAGAATTTTCTACGAAAAAGAGAAGAGAAGAAAAATATTGAACACGTAAATCGAGGAAAACTTGTTGAGGATCGAGTTTGTGTAAAGAATAC